TGTATTTTAGATCAAGAGATGCCATGGCTAGTTACTACAAGATTGGATTTTGAAAAGTCAGCTAATACTGTTCTCTTTTGGAGAAGTGTACAGTGAATCCGTAATATCTGGAACAAATGAACTCATGTTCCTGTCGATCACCAGGGGAAGCCTTTAGGAGAGGGACTGTCAGAAAGGCAGTGTAAATGTAGGAAAAAACACAAGCTCAAGTGTGAGAAAGGCTGGGGTTCTGGTCCCGGCACCATTACCTTCTGTCTTTGTGGTGTTGGTCGCCCTGCTGTTGTCAGACAGGTTAGCTCTGCGTGCTGCAAACTCTGCAGTACATTGTTTTTATTTTTGTTGTAAAGTCATTATCTTCCTAAGAGATCTTACTATGAACATTACCTGGGGGTCCTTAAGGTCTCGTAATTCTCTTGTATAGGTTCAGATTTCAATCTACAGCACTCTACTTTTTGTTTGAGAACCAGTAACATTTCCTGTAGCCTGAGTCTTCTCTAGAGGACTCTTTCAGTGTTTACCTTTCTCCTTCCTTTGTGGACACCAGTCACAGGCACCTCGAGTCCCCCATGCCGTGTTCATTATTTATTTCCTGTTCCTCAGTGCTGCATTCTGCATAGTTCTCACACAGTGTTTTAAAGCAATTCAGTTTATTTTTCAGTAACGATTAACTTGCTGTTAATTCATTGCAAGTGTGTGTTTATTTGTTTAAGAAAACTCAGTGATTTTATAACGCCTGTTGGATTTAGATTTTTTTGAGACAGGGCTACTTGTAGCCCAGCGGACATTGAACTCACCTTATAATGGAGGATGATTTTGAACTCTGATCCTCTGCTTCTATTTCCTAAGTGCTGGAATTAAAAGTCTATCTACGTCTCCACACCTGCTGCTGTGTGGTTCTATGTATGGGATACATGACTTCATGCATACGACCTAAGCAAGCCATCTACCAACTGACCTACACCCTCACTCCCAGTCTAGATGTGGCTTATCTTTTCCACGTCTCTATTCTACTTGCAATCAACCTATTATCCCTAGGTCGCTTTCCTCAGTTTTGCTATGCATCACTCTTTCCTGTTCCTTTTTCATACCTAATAATTTCAACTTGACGATACTGGGAATTTCACTGTGAGTTACAGGATACAGAATGTTTTTTTATTCCCTGTAAGTATTCTCATGCATTTTTCTAAGATACATTTTTTCTTTCTTTTCTTTTTTTAAAAAGGCAACTGAACCAAGGGTTTGGGGGTAGAGCTTGGTTTTTAAGATTTGTTAAATAGGACTATAATAGAGTTTATTGTAGGGCTGGTTTTGCTCAGCTACTGAGGTGAGATCATTTATGTCATGGATTATGGGGTTTTCACTCTTTGAAGATCAGGCATTTTACGATCTTGTATGACCACTGAGAATCTTTTAACTCTGACTTGTAGGAACAAGAATAATCCCCTAACTTGTGCAAGCCACAGGGAGTGTCCATTCTTCTCTTCATGTGCTTATGTGTCCTTCTTCCCTGTGCGTGGATAGCTTCCTGACAAGTGTGGGAGTCAGCTGGACTGAGGTCTGCAGGCCTTCCTGGCTCCCTGCGCCACACAGCTTTCTTCTCTCTGCTAATCTGAGGTCTGCAGGCCTTCCTGGCTCCCTGCGCCACACAGCTTTCTTCTCTCTGCTAACCTGCACCCGCTCCAACAGACATGATCTCTCAGTCTCCCTACACTTCCGAGCTCCTCCTCTTTCTAGGTGATAAATCAACGTAACGATGGGGCTCCGCTCATATGCTTCCCTCCCCCAGGACTGTCCATCTCAGGTATATGATGTCTGGTGTGTGAATGTCATTGTTTTATATCTCCCTGTTTGGTTTTTGCTATGTTACATCAGGCAGTGAATTCACTCATTGCTCCATCTTGACTGGCTGGACTGGTTACTGTAATTCACTCTGTTGATAAAATAGATTGCTTAGGGAGTCACCTGTTTCCAAAACAATTTTCATTAAGTAACCTGGACTTCTTGGCATGGCGATCCACATTGACACATACAGTATCTCTTGTGCAAGAAGAACCCACACAACTGAGTTTTATGTATGACATATTTTCCCTCTGGCTTATAGTTTAGAATTTCTGCGTCAGTCTTTCTACCTAAGGCTTTTAATTTTCTTTCATTTCATGTTTTGTTTTGTTGTTAGGGCCCAGTATCCTACGCACAAAATTTCATGTTTTTTTAAAATTATTCTTTGTAGCCAATATATAGTGCTCCAGATCTTTTTTTGTTTGTTTGTAGGTGTTTTTTTTTGTTTGTTTGTTTGTTTTCCTAAGATACACATGAGGCTAAAGAAAGGCGGGGTCTTTGACTTCAAGAAGGCCTATACTACTTATTGTCTGAATACCCATTTCCAATCTCTGGGGCCATTTTCCAGAAGAGAGTATTTGTTTCTTAAGATGGGCTTATAAAGAGAAGTAGAAAGTTTACGTTAAGAAAGTCGTTCTTGGGCCTCAGCTTCAGATATTTATGCGGTACATATTAGAACACAGCATTGAGCGTTGATTAGGACTTTGGTGCAAGGCTCTGCCATCACGAGTTTGTAACCTCATGGAATTATGACATGCACTGATGAGGGCCTAAGACTTGCTGCTTGTTAATGTTTGTGACATCACAGTAGGATATGCTAATGGAGGCCCTGAGAGAATAGGGAAGAATAGTTTAGGGACCACAGGATGCTGGGAGGAGCAGCACAGCCTGTCTCAGGACTACGGGAGGAACAACTGCTGGGGAAGAGTGGGGGGAAAAGAGAGGCCTCTCAGCTGCAGGCCTGATATGTAGGGCCCAGGAATTTCAATACTAGGGAGTTATGTCTAAGTTTTTATTGGGTTGTTCAAGCACAAAGGTTTGTTTGAGAAGATTAGGGTGAGAGCGTGCAAGCAGCAGTGACTTGAGGACAGACCATGTCTTAATTATGTGTGTTCCCAGATTCTAGTTCATAGTTAAGGTGTGTTGAGTGGTATATCGTTTTCATTTTAAATTACTAATGCTTTTGATAACCATCGGCCTCGTCAATAGTTCTGGCAAATATTGCAAAAGAGCCCCTTCCTGTCCAGTGTTGTTTTGTTTAAATAGCTCAAGTGAAGTAATGTTTGACCTGAATTTCTTCAAGCGGTTTTGAAAAAGGTATTAATTGCATATATAATAGCTTATATATATATATACACACACACGCATATATGAGGGGCTGTTATGAATTATGAGTACAATCTAAATAACTAAGCTGAGCTAAGCAGCATACCATTATTTCAAACACTTAGCAGTTTTTGTGGTGAGAGCATTAGGAATGTACATCTCAACACCCTCGGAAGTCAGAACACGGCCATTTGGCACAATCCCCGCATACACTGTTTTGTGCAATATCCTTCAAAAAGGAAAAAAAGCTGACTCTTGCTGCCTTGGCGGCTTTGTATCTTTCAAGCCTTACCTTGTCCATTCTTCATTTTTTTTCCCCCACTTGAGGATCAGTCACTCACAGAAATTTCACAAAGCTGCCTTTTGCAACCCCTGCCTCCACATTCTTGGGCAAGATCACGCTTAGGTACCTAAACCCACACAGCCCACAGGCACTCCACCACGGGGTCTGGTGTGGTGGGAGTACCCACGTAAGCTGAGGTCACACGACGAAGTGGCAGATAGACAGACGGACCGATGCACGAAGCATGCAGCTCCGGCAGGGTAACCATGAGGCTCACTCCCCATGCTCAGTGTACGCACGCTACCCTTCTTGCAAGCACATTTTGCAGGGCCAGGCGGCCAGCCGCTCCTGACGTCACTGCCGCGCGCCGCTGGCGTCATCGCGGCGCGCCGCTGCAGCAGGCGCAGAGC